CCCATAAAAACATTTTTAATTATACGATTAAGTAGAAATTTAATAATGAAACGCCTAATTTTCAAATAATGTAAAAAATAATATATGTTTGTGCATAACTTTTTAAATTTTATTGTATTATTATTTGTACAAACATAGGAAATATTTCATAATAAATCCATTGCTGGGAAAGTATGTGACTATATTAAAAATACGTTCGCAGAGGAAGGAGGAGGGGGCGTTAAAAGCATCCCAGCTAACACGCTTAACGTTGGCCAACGTCGGAACAACGTTGGAAGTGTTGAGCAATTTTTTTTTAACCACGCGCTTACGTCGAACCAACGTCGGGCCAACTTCTGAGTGTAACTTATTTTAAAATGCGTATAGTGTTTTTTCCCACATTTGTGGCAAAAATTCGAAACAGAAACGTTCTAAGAAAATATCTCTTGTAATCATAATGTACACATTCAACGGATTTTAAACATAGTTTTGTGTATCAAAGCAACTGTGACTTGGTGTATTAAAATAACTGTGAAAAGGAGGGGGAAAAAAAAGTTTTAAATTAACTGATTTCAAGATTGTGGAGCAATTTAGATTTGTTTTTATGAATTAAAAATGTTTTTGGAAAAAACTCGTATGGCATTCTCTCCCCACTTGAAATCTACTCGCCCCGGCCCTTGTTCAAATATGTGTATACATCAATATCTCCAGCAGTGACGACTGAACTATAAATGAACGGTGTACATCCATTCTTAATAGAGAAATAGTTTTCATCATGTTTTCCTAACTTGTTTATACTCTATATTATTATATATAGTTTATACTCTATATTATACATCAATATCTCCAGCAGTGACGACTGAACTATAAATGAACGGTGTACATCCATTCTTAATTGAGAAATAGTTTTCATCATGTTTTCCTAACTTGTCTATACTCTACAAAAACAAATTCACTCTTCCTTTTACATAAGTTTATGATGTGAGAAGTTTCAGTAAACTAAAGATAAAAAAAAATCTGCGATCAAGTATGACAAAGTAACGTCTTTTTGCATTAATATTAATTTTAATTGAATGTGAGCTTGCTGAGAGCATTGCCAATCATTTTGTTTCAACCCAGAGGGCTCAGACTTTCGTATGACGTCTCATTAATGTCACTAGTCCTTATGATGATCTCGCAAAAAAAAAATTTATATAAACTAGCAGGAAAGTAAGTTTTTTCCTTAAAGCATGCTTTCAGTAATAGGTTTTGTGTAAATATATCTTTTTAAATTTTTTTTTTTTGACGATAATTGTTAACCAAGTAAACTTAGCAAACTCAAACTTTTGTTTAGTGTTTTAGATTGAACTTTAGATTGTTTAGTGTTTTAGATGTACTTAAAAGTTTTAATAAAAGACATATAAAAGCATTGATAAAATATACTTATCTTAAGTGCGATTCTCAAAAAACCGTTTCTAGTGGTAATGTGCCACCTCCAACCCTTGTCGTCCCCTACTTATTCCCATGCCCCCCCCCCCACGACGCTAAACCTCAATCCGTCCCTAGGCTCTTATTCTTTGATAATGTTTGATGAATATGTACATACAAGGCCGGCGCAATAGGGGTGTGTGGGGGTGTGTGACACCCCTCCCCCAACAAATTTAGTCGGCAAATTTGACTCTTTTTGACAAGTTAGTCGGCAAATGCAGACCCTTTCGACAGGTTAGTCGGTAAATTTAGACAGTCAGTCGGCAAATGTCGTTATGGCAGTCGGCAAATTTTTAAAAAACAAGAACTTTTTTTTTTTGTCGGCACAAGTTGTAAAGGCACCCCCCCCCCCCCATGTGACACCTACTCGCGCCCAGGGTTACCAGGTTTTTTTTCGGGGACAAGCCAAAAACAAAACAAAAATAAACCAGAAATAAACCAGACCAAAAAAAAAAAAATCATCTTTTTTTTTTTAAAGCCTTTTTTATAATTTATATTAAAAAAAAAATGCTTCCTTATTCAAAGATTCATCTTTGAATATTAAAATTTAACTTGTAAGAGATCGGAGAAGAATAACGAGTATGGCAATGTTTAATGGGTTGCCACTCCAGCTTTCAAAGCGGTGTTGGGAAAGTAATTCACTACTAAACACCCATACTATATCCGACACTATCAAACTGTATTATAAATATTTTTTTCGCTTGCATATGCTTATAGATTTCTTTTTCAACCTTTGCAATAATTGACTCAATTATTTTATAGTCCTTGTAAAAGATCTTTTGCTTTATTAAACATGATTGAATGACTGAATGCAAGACTTAGTTTGATATTTTTTAGTCTGACTTTTATGCAGATGATTCGTGAGAAGATTTAAAAAATAGAAACGGAACATATAAATAGCAAAGGCATCTATGTTGCAGAGGTCTATGTCTCCGGAAATTTCTAAATGGGCTCACAAAGCAGCTTAGAATTCAGCGATGTTTTTAGAAACTCATTTTTCTTAAAAGTTTTTAGACTCGCTCTGATAATGCAATGTCAATTAATTCAAGATTAATGACGGTTTCTGTAATTTCTTCACTTTTTCCATCAAAATAGAAAAGACCTTTCTAACATGGGAAATAACATTAATTACAGGTAGATTTTTTCTCATACAAAATCATTTTGAATGTAAGAATTTTCTAATATTTTTGGTATTTATGGGATAAAAACAACATTTTAATGACATCCCAAGTAAAATTTTTTTAATGTTTTAAGATTTTATTGTACGCATTTTTTTCATTTTTTTTAAACTTCATTGTTCATCTATAAAATGAAATAATGAAAACCTTTCTTTCCCTCGAATTAACTTTTTTTTTTATGAAATAAAAACTTGATTAGATCAATTTATTATTAAATAAACCAGAATTAAACCAGATTTTAAAAAACATACCAGAAAAAACAAAAAAAGAACAAAGACTTTAAAATAAAACAGATTTAAACCAATTTTTCTAAAGTAAACCAAAACAAAAATTCTAAGCCAAACGATAAAAAAACAAACCAGATTTGAGAAATCTGGCTTTAAAAAACACCAGATGGCAACCCTGCTTGCGCCGGCCCTGTGTACATAAATGTATATTTATGTGCGTATTCATAAATGTATGTACATATTGTTTAACTTATTTTAAACAGCTGTCGTGCAAATGAATAAGTGGCTTGAAACAAATGTTGCAATTATTGAATTCAATAATTGTTTATGAGACTTAATGGAGACTTAATAAACTCTTCATGAAGACTTAATAAAGTCATGGTTAAAATATGAAGGGAATAATCATGGAGGAGGAAGAAATTAGGACGGGGAAGATAATAATGATAACGATAAATGATGTATTTTTATATAAAATTATTATGAGTTATATGTAACAAATTACAAAGCAAACAAACATATGTTTGTTTGCTTAATTTATGTTAATTTTTTTTTTCTGTAACATTTTTATATACTTATATGTAACAACTTTTATATGTTTATTTTAACTTTTATATATTTTGAACGATTTTTAAATATTTCAAAATAATTTTAATAATTATTACAAGAATTTTATTTATTAGTAGTACAAAATACATTGTGTATTTATATAAAACTTTTTTGCTATAAATTTAAAATAATCATAAGTATTTTTAGATATAACATTAAATCATAAAAACATTATTATGATGTTTTTATTTATATTTCATATTTATACATTTATACATGTTTGTATCATGATGATACAAACATGTATAAATATGAAACATAAATACAAAGTATTTAATTTTTTCTTTAAAATAAGAGTTTATTTAAATAGTTAATAACTATTTAGTTATCTGTTTGTAGTTAATAATTACATTTTTAAAGAATCATTTTTAAATATTTTTATACAAAATAATAAAATGATTTGATTAAATTTGTATAAAGTTTTGTTTTTAGAAAGCTATAAATTATGATAGTTATGCAAAGAAGTTATGAAGGTATTGTTTTAAAGCATAAACAGATTAGATTAGGTACATGGACTGATTTTTTTAAATTGAGCATATACTAGAATGTTATATATCATTAGAAAGCCCTTTAATACAGTATTTTAATGATGATATTTTTAAAAAAGAACTATTAAAAAAAATGTTATGACGTTTTTAGTAGCAAATTTTCGATATATGGATTTATTGAAGAAACTGGATCCAAAATTTTTTTTTTCCCACTAAAATTTTCATAACTTTGTCTAATCTTATTTAAATACCTATACCTACATATCAAAAGATAGATCTACGTGTAGGCTACAAGTTCATATAACTCTATAGACAAAATGGGTGTCTAGAGGACCAGAGAGAGTACGGAGCACCACCATAACCTTAAAAAAAACGAGTTTTTCACACGAAAGAGTGATTTTCTGATAAAATATGTTATCTTTATGCTCAAAAAATTGTTCTGATTTTCTTCCATTCCATTTCCAAATATTAGTGGTGTATTTAAGATTAAAGGGTGGATGATTTTGTTTAACACCCTTGTAATGAAATGTTACATTCTTATAAATATTTTAACCTAAAAAATACTGATTATATTTTGTGTTAAAAAGTTTAAATTATATTTTATTACTTTACAGCATATACAAGTAGTGTATAAATTGACATTAGGGGCGGGACATGTGCGACGCCCAACGCCCTCCTTCCCCCCCACCTCATCCAGTCTTATCCAATATAAAAATTTTTTTTTTTAAAGATATTTGAAAAAAGGTTTTAAATTGAGTTTATTAAAAAATAAGAGAAATAAATATTCAAGATTATTTTACAATGTTAGTTAGGGGAGAGGCGTGTGCCACGCCCAAACCCCCCCCCCCTCCTCCTTCTTATTCAAACTTGAAAAAAATGTCAATAACATTTTTTAAAATGTTTTTAAATTTTGTTTATTTAAAAAGAGAGACATAACTTTACAAATCTTACCCCATTAAAAGATGCATATTGGAGTATCCTCCCTAAAAATAAGCCAAAACTAATTTTGCAAATGTTAATAATGGTAAAAATTGGGAAGAAATGGAAAACAAACCTGCTGATAATAAACATATATTTTATAAAAAAAGTGTGGTGAAAATACTAGGCGGTGCCTAATAATTGTAATAATCACCATGAACCACAAGGCTGCCACCATTCCATCTTCTCCCTCTGCTTCCATGACCTTGGCTACCTCCCTTTCTGCTGCAGCTCCCAGCACCCTTGTTAGGAGGATGATAGTGCAATTTGAAGGAATCATTATCCTTTCCTCCTAACTCGACCCATTGCTTAAATGAGCTATTGCTTGTGGGTCTAGGATGCTGGGACCTATATAAAAGATAGGTTAGCTCTAAATGACAATGATTTGTAAATAGATTAGTACTGAATAGCATTATGTAAATTTTAATATAAAACAATTAATTGCAAAAGTGATAAGCTGAACAAATAATATGAACATATTAATCAATGATACCTCAAAAAATATTAATGAGAGTAATAATTTGAATCTACTTCACTTTGAGGATAACACAACACTAATGCATTAAATAGTGTATATAAATATAAACATAAATTCAATAATCATTCAGAAACATTTTTAAATCATAAATTTACCAGCAGAAGGTTGTATATATGGAACTAAAGATAAAAAAAGTTTTTATAAAAATTTGCAATTGATAAGTAAGGTGTGTACATGTTTGCAAATAATAGTTTTTAAACTTACTAGTCGTAGAAGCCGCTGAAGATATAACTAAAGGTTATCAAAGTAGTAATTAAAAATAAATACTGTAATTGCCAAGATATGCATAAACATATTGAAAAGTAAAAATTTGTAAACATACCACTTATGGAGATGTAGAAGGAACTAAGGTTAAAAATTATTTAATAAAAAATTTATAATGCAGTCATCAGAAATATATACACATGATAAAAAGTAGTAATTGTTAAACTTACCATTCGTTGAAGACGAAGATGCAACTTAAACTCAAAATTTGTAATAAAAAATAAATGCTGCAAATAATGACTTTGAAATTAGTAATCTTTGAAATCTATTCACAGATTAAAAAGTACTAGCTAATTCTATAATCATTAACATATACAAACTGATACAAACTTACCAGTGATAGGCTGTGTAGATTCAACTGAAAATAACAAAAAAAATTTTACACAAAATAATTTAAAATTGTCTACAGTAAGTTACAAATGTAACAATCATCAAAGCTGTTCTGCTTAAGATGCAACAACTATACTAACAAAATGAAAATATAACTATTAAAATATAAAGATAATATATTTACAGGCAACAAGCAAACATTAGGAATGGTTATAAATTTATGTAAACAATAAACACATATAAAGATGGTATACAATAAGTAAAAAAAATTGACTCTAGTTTTTTAAGTGTTTCTATATATTGGTACTATAATGTTTATTAACATTTACTTATTGTATACTTTTTTCTCTCTGTGATTATGTTAATGTTTTTTTAATGAATAAATCCAAAATTTATGTAATTTATACTAACCAAATCTCAAAAAATCAACAAAAAGCCGGGTAGGATCTAAACAAGAAATAAATATTGGACATGCTTGTATAATGATTTAAACACCAATCCACAGATAAAGAAGTATATAATCCAAATATGATAAAAGACAATAATAATGATATCTTTTGTTATATTTTAAAACAATAAGAAGTTTTTTGTTAAGATTAAACTAATGAAGTATGTAATATACTTATTTATATGTGATTTCTTAATAAAATTGTCAACTGATACTAACAGTTGACAATCAGTTTTAATAGGCTATTACAAACCACATATAAATAGGTATATTACATACTTCGTTAGTGTAATTTTAACAAAAAACTTCTTAGTGTTTTTAAAATATTAAATGTCAATGTTTTAAAATATTAAAACTGTTGCTATTAAATACCAACAGTTTTAATCTGAAACATTAATCTTTTTTAATATGTTTCATAAAAAACAATGAAGGTTTTACATTAATCATTATTTTTTGAATTTGAAAATAGTTATTAATACTATTATTTAGAATTAAAAAAATTGAACATACTATCTGTTAGGGCATCTAGCACAGTTTTGTTCATTTTTTTCCATGTTTAATTAAATCTAATAACATAAATCAAAATAATTCAAAAAAAGATTTTTTTTTGAGTCGCCCCCTTATCTGGATTGCGGCGCCACCCGGATTTCGCTTACCAAAAAAAAACAACAGAAAAACCGAAATTAGGTACCTAAAGTCCAACACTAATTAGACTAATTGCTTATAATTATTTTTCGTTGAAATTTGGCATGTTCATAGAAAACGCATGAAGTAAACTATTTTAATAATAAAAAAAGCAGACTATATTTCTTCGACTACAAATCCATGTGATAACATCAGCCAAATTTTCATGCAAAATTCTCAGCAAAATACTCCATAAAAAAGTATGGTAGCGACACACAATAGTTACAGTAAAATCAAGCCTAACCTTTCTTTTTTCAAAAGTTGTCAAGGTTTATATATGTTTCTAAAAGGAACCACCTCAAAAAACCGTTTGCCTAGGGCTATCTGAAAAAAGTGGTATACTTGGTATAACACCAATTAAACTAATTGCTTATAATTATTTTTCGTTGAAATTAGGCATGTGCATAGAAAATGCATGAAACAAGCTATTTTAATAATAAAAAAAGCAGACTCTACATTTTTTTGACCACAAATTCATGAGAGAACATCAAGCTAATATTCAAGAGCAAAATATCCCATAATAAAGTTTAGTAACCTTACATAAAAGTATCTAAAAAATCAAGATTAGCTTTTCTTCTTTCCAAAAAGTATCTATGTGTATATATGTTTTTAGATGGAAACTCCACAAAACTACGTCTGCCTCACGCTGCCTAAAAAAGAGTGAAAAAAACGAGAACCAAATTTTAGCATAAAAATCGGTTCCGTAAATCGCGATTTCCGCGTACCTAGATTAAATTACACATTGGAAGAAGTGATCCTTAGAACTTAGAATGATTGAATCAAGAGAAGAAGTGGCAATAAAGAAATCAAAAAAGATTGCATCACTTGACAATGTGGTTGTGAAACGAAATTGCACTAATTGTTGTTTAGAGAGCACAGGTTGAAATACTTTATTTCTATAAATTCTTTTTCTCAGACTTTTAAATCAAATTTTAACAATCACAGGGTTCTTACATAAGGTTGTTACATAAGGTTCTTACATAAAATGGAATCATAAGCAAAATAATTTTCTGTGTGGAGAATACAAAAATATATTTTAGGTGTTTACGTAACTTGTAAAGAAATTTATCTTTATTATTTTAAAGAGTATATTTTATCAAGAACTTAAGGGTACCAAAATTTAAATGAGGGTCTGGATTAAAATTGTCCAGTTGCTATGTCCTCCCATGGAGCAGCATTGATTGCAGGAGAGTCTATAAGATTGTGCTATAACTCTTTTATAATGCTACCATATCTTGCATCAAGACTACATTTTATACTCTTATTTTTTATTTTATCTAAAAGATTTATTTTTCTTGGTCAAAATTATTATACTTTATTACTATTTCTTAATATTGTTTATGATATTAATATCATTTATAATACTCATTACAATTTCTGAACTGACTTAAGAATCTGTTAATTTGAGTTAAAATATTTTTTTGTTTATTCCTTCTAATATTTGTAAAAAGGAATTTCGACACAAGTTAACTCATGTTTTGCAGTAAAGTACTGATAAAATTATTCAATAATTTTCTGTTTAAGTATGGTTTTAAAAAATGTAGTGATTCTTTGTCCCCATGTTTATGGAAGTAATTCATTATTTTTTTTAAATTATTTTTTACATTTTTGTATACAGTATTATGTGCATATATTTTACATATTTTTGGTTATTTCTGATAGAAGTAGATTATATTTAAGTTGTACAAATAACTTTTACTAATTTGTGCACTATTTTTAATTTCTATTATATATATATATATATATATATATATATATATATATATATATATATATATATATATATATATATATATATATATATATATATACATATATATATATATATATATATATATATATATATATATATATATATATATATATATATATATATATATATATATATATATATATATATATATATATGTATGATTATAATTTTAACAGTAGATATAGGATTGCCTAAAAGCTAATCAAAAGAAAGATGCAAGTTCTGAGATTTCTATTAAATCGTATTAAGAGTAGCGTTTAAACGTCAAAGTTCCTCTTTAGTAAGTTTAAAGACTCAAGATTCGTAAGGAAGCTAAGCAGTTGAAAAAAACATTTTTATTTTTAAATATGTATATAATTTCTATGAATATTTAATGTTATTATAATGATTATTACAACAAATTTTGATTTTCTGTGTTATTATAAAGTTCACTTGATTTCCCAAAGATGTAAGTTCCTTCATAAATCAGCATAAAAACCAATTTTTGTTTATCTAAAAAAAAGTTATTCAAACTTATTTGGAGTAAAAGAAAATCAAAGTAATAGTTTTATTGAACATTGCGTAAGAAACGTGCTTACCTTTTGAGTGAAAGTTTTTAAGACTCTTACATATAATTACGTTGGAACAACGTTATTACGTTGGACCAACGTTAGAATGCGACGCTCGCCCAACGTCGGAGGTTGACGTTAGGCCAACGCTAGCCCAACAAATGCTTGCAACGTCGCGCCGACTTCCAAATCCACGTTGTGGCGACGTCAGTTGCCGACCATCAGCCAACGAATTTTTCGACGTTGATCCGACATTGGGCCAACGTCTGTGTGCTATCTGGGATATATTTGAGAATAAGGGAGAGGGGAGTCCTAAATCAGTAGTTTTACTGCGTACATACTATATGGATGCCCCATTGTATTGAATACTACTTTTATTGAGTATTGTATTGAATACTACTTGTATTGAGTGTTGTATTGAATACAACTTGAATTGAGTCGTGTTAAATAGAGTGGCTTTTAAAGCAACATTTTTAAGAAACATTTTAACTGACTTCCCAAAGTGTTTTATATATTAAAATAACTACAAGTTTATTTAATTAATTTACCTTTTCTAATAATTTTTGGGGATGTTTTCAAATGTGATTAATAATAATAATATACAATATATATACAATAATATTGTCGAGATTAAACGCATGTTTAATCTTTTTCAGACAAAATAAGAAAGTTAAATATACTCGATTAAGTCTAGTTTAGCTTTAAATAGGTTGAGATATTTAACTCCACTGTTTCAATTGGTAATTTGTTCCAAAATTTGACTGTGCGATTTTTAAAAAAACCTACGATTTCGATTTAAATATTTCTTATCGTTGAATAAATTATATTTGTTACTGCAAATGTTTGAAGACGGTCCTAAAAAATTTAAAAAGCACGAATATTGAGGTATTTTCCAAGTTATTTTATCTATATCACAATATCATTTGTACATTTGTATGAGGTCTCCTCGTACTCTTTGTTATTTTAAAGATGTCAATTTCTTTTTTTCTAGTCTTTCAATGCATGATAGTTCAGGTACAGATTTCGTTGCTCGTTTTTGAATTTTTTCTAATATATTTATATCTTTTTAAAGATATAAACATATTAGTTGACATATTATTAAATAAAGTTTGAAATAATATCAAATACTTTTTTATTATTAAAAAAAATTTTAAATAATAAAAGAGTCTTTTTTATTATTGAAAAAATTTTGCACCTTAATTTTTTAAAATTGAATTTTTTAAATTGTTTGTTTACTTATGCGTGGAATATCTTTTCGGTGGTATTCTACCCCAGCTAGCACACATACGTTGTTAAAAAATTAGAACAGTGTCGCGCGTTTCGTTGGCCCAGCATCGGCTGCCAACGTTGTTTTTATATCATTATGGTTACAAATTTTTTAAATGCTTTATATTTTTATCAAATTTTTTAAATGCTTTATATTTTTATTAAATTTTTTAAATGCTTTATATTTATATCAAACGCTTTATATTTTTTCTGTAACAAGAAAGCCTATTTTTAATATCTTCAGCTCTTCAATCAATTGTCCCAGACAAATTAAAAATAGCAAAAATTGTACCTATATTTAAAGGTGGAGATACATCTGCAATCATCAATTATAGACCAATCTCAATTCTTCCTATATTTTTTAAACTCCTTGAAAGAATAATTTACAACAGACTGTAAAAATATTTAATAGAACACAAAATCTTAAGTGAAAATTAATACGGGTTTCACACGCAACATTCAACAGAACATGCTATCCTAGATCTCATTAATAACATTACAACTTCCTTTAATGATAGAAAATTTGTATTAGAAGTATTTATTGATCTTACAAAGGCGTTTGACACAGTAGAGACCACACAATACTACTAAGAAAAATGGAAAAATATGGCATAAAAAATCAAACTATAAAATGGTTCGCCAACTACCTAGACAACAGACAACAATGTGTTACCATAGATCACTATAACAACTCGAAACAACTAAAAATCAAATGTGGGGTTCGTCAAGGATCTATTCTAGCTCCTCTTCTATTTTTAATTTATGTCAACGACCTTCCTAAAGTCTCATCCAAGTTAGATTGCATAATTTTTGCAGACGACACTAATCTGTTTTATTCTTCTAGCTCAATCAGTGACCTCTTTATAACCGCAAACTTAGAACTTATTAAACTTAATACATGGTTCAGAGCTAACAAATTGTCATTAAACTTAAACAAAACTAAATACATCTTATTTCACCCCAACCAAAAAAAAAAGGCTATCCCATCAATTTTACCAACTCTTAGTATAGACAACACAATTGTTGAACGAACTCAATCATCTAAATTTCTTGGTGTGCTTCTTGACGAGAAATTATCTTGGAACTCTCACATAAATACCATTAATACAAAAGTCTCAAAAAACATTGATCTACTCTATAAAGCAAGAAATTATTTATCATATATACATACTAGTTTATGTTATGCTCCTTCCTAAAAACTCGACTAATTATATTGAAAAATGTAATAAGTAATGAATAAACTATTTATTAGTATCTCATGAAATTGTTTTAAAAAAGGGTTCTCGATGACAAGACTTTACACAGTTTTCTGCGAGTTTTCCTTAACTACATAACTAAAGGTTTAATTTTTCTTTTTTTAAGACTTTTTTTGTCTTTTCAAAATATAAACTGAAAAACTATTTTACATTATTTTATTACTTTGTACATCAAATATATCTTAGTATTATTTCAGTTATTTTCAAAGCATTTTGACTGTATTTGTAATAAAAGTATATATTGTTAAAACTATTTGTAATAAAAGTATGTATTGTTAAAGCTATGTAGTTGTAAAAAATATATAGAAAAAAAAAAAAAAAAATGCGACGTCACCAACAACTAAAAAACAATGTTGATAAAGCGTTTATTTAAAATCGGAAAATAGTTATATTTTATACGGTGATTCAACGTTTTATTTTATACGTTGGCCTAACGTTGTATTTTAAGTTGGTTCAACGTTGTATTAACGTTGGTTTAACGTTGAACTTTAATTGGCAAAACGTTGTATTCAATATTATTTTGAATTGAATTTTCATTTAATTCTATTTTCTTTATATTGTATAATACATTGTATAATATATGAATAATATTATAAAATAAATAAGGCTGACAACGCTTAATCATCGAAACAAAAATCATCTTTGTGTTGATTGTGGTTTGATATTTTAATAATCACGAAAGATTTTATTTAAAGTTATATAATTTCTCAATAGCAATGTTTGGTCGCTTACATTGGATCGACGTTGGGTTTAGTTCGTAAAAACAATCAAATTTTTGCGATGTATTTACATACATTGGATCAACGTTGATTTATATACATTGAATCAACGTCGAAATATATACATTGGATCAGCATTGGGTTTAGATCGTAAAAACAATCAACTTTTTGCGATGTTTTTACATACATTGGACCAATGTAAACTTGCCAGATGTCTTTAGTTCCGTCTGTAATAATTTTATCATTAACCAAATGACATTGGATCAACGTTGGTTTTGCATTGGAAAAAAGAGCCAAAGTTCGCGATGGTTTTACATACGTTGGCCCAATGTAAGTGTGCTAGCTGGGACTGCACGTAAAAGAAATCTTTTCCGCGCTTTATCTTCAGTAAAAAAAAAAAAAATTGAATTAGTTTTAACAGCAAGTGCTTCTGTTGGCAGAATTTAATATGCTTAAACGTGTGACCATAGGGGGTAACTTAGAAAAAAGGTAAAAAATTTAAAAAAACTGCCAGTCAGTCAAAAGTTTGACACATTGAAAAGAGAACTTCTTTAAAAACTTTTATAACAATTTATGCAACAAATTTTCAAAAAAGACATAAAAGCTTTTTTTTTACCGATAAATTTACCTTGAGCGAAATATTTTTCATTTTAAAGTAGATAAATACAAATAAAGTATGTTATAAAAAAAATTCTGACAATCGTCCCCCTCCCCCCTCCTCTAAAAAATAAATAAAAAATCAAATACCATTTGTTTTTATGAAATTTCGAGCAAAAAATATAAAAATTCTGTTTTAATATGCGTAATATATTTATTTTGTATTATTTCCAATAATATTTTGATAGCAAGATGGTGATTTTCATTTTGTAAATGAAACGATTTCACTATACTTAATAATTATTTTTAATAGCTTTTACACGAATTACTGTTTTATTATTATTATTGATATTATTATTACTAATTATATTTTTTATTTGCCGTATATTAATGTTTACAATAAAATAAATCTTGTTAATAAATAAAAGAACTGGAGCAAGCAGAAGGCATAAACTGTCTTATCGCTGAGCCCCACTTTTGGTGCTCCAAAATTGCACCAAAATTGTCAGTTAATATACATGAATAAAAAGTAGCTAAGTATATAATAAGAAATTTAAACACGCTTATTTACACGTGTTGAAATATAATGCAATATAATTAAGATTAACGACAACTTAAAAGTATTTTCAAGTTTTTCAATAAAAAATAAATTTATTTAAATTTGCATCAAAAGAAAAAGTAGTTGAAAATTGCTATCAATAGAGAAGTAGTGTCAATAACTATTTTTAGATAACTAATATCATTAATGTATTATTTACTATTAATGTATTACTTTAATATCTATTAATTACTTTATTATCTAATAATTATTACTTTACTACCATCTACTTATTACTTTAAAAGAGATCAAAGTCTTTTTGTAATGAGAGAGTTTTAGATTCTTTCCTAAACTGTTCCAAAGAGATGTTTTGAACATTATTCTTTTTTGTAATAAACTTTGAAAAATGTTTCCATATAAAAGGTTCGCGGTATTGGATTTGGTAAGAGCTAAGTTTTAAATTAGTTCTAGGAGCAACAAAATTATTAATTGAAAATTGAATAGGGTATTTGTTCGAAAAGTCAATAAGTACGACTTGAATACAATAGGAACAAATCCATATTTTGTTTTAAACATGAATTGTAAAACTAGGTGTAAATTAAGTTTATATATACTTAAGGCACGAAGTTTCCTTAAAAGAGGATCGCAATGAAAAGTTCTGTATGCACCATATACAACTTTGCATGCGTGTTTTTGCTTAATATAAAGCTTTCATAATTTACCATAATATATTTACTTTTGAACTTCTTCCTTTGAATTACTTTTACAATAACTGCACTTTGCACAATGATAACTCGATAGTCATGAGGCACTTCAAAAGCACTTCAGTTACTATTTTTATTTTCGAAAGATAAAATCCAACGGCATTCGTCCTTCACTTAAGCGTAAGAAAAAGCTCAGACAATATAAGATTAGTTATAGAATTAGAAATAATTAAATTAATAATTTTTTAGCCAATGTAATACAATAGCCAAGCGATTTATTTTCCTGTCTACCTCAGATACAAACTTTAAATTATTGTAAATAGGTAGCATGAGAGACTTTTTCTTCCTTTTTATGAGAGACTTTTTCTTCAGCATTAAATGCTCCTAGTACTTAGGAGTTTTCATTTTTGATATTTTCTCTTCTTGATTTCTCTTTTTCAATTGCTTTTAGTTTTTGCGCTTTACTTCACCTGACTTTTATAGCATAACTTTTGTCTGATTATCGAGTCAAAAAGTGCTTCTTTATACGGTGGTAAATGTATCTGTGGATTTCTTCAAAAAAAAAAAAAAAAAAAAAAAAACGGTTGGCGATAATCCAGCTCATAGATATAGTTATGCAATTTATTGAGTCGTTTCCGTCAACAGTAGTTTTTTGTAGTTTAAAGATATAAATATTATTTATTTTGGGTTAAACGTTGTCCCGCATTTATATTTCATAATATCAATTTCCAAACCATAAGAAATAATAAATGATCAAGACTGAGTTGAGATTTTCATTATTTAAATGATTATTGTTACATATTGCTGATCATAGTTACAAAATGAAAAAAAAAAAAAACGATCATAGTTACAAAAGAAAATAAAACTTCCGAAATACTATTCAATGATAATTGAAATAGACTGAAGTTGAACAAAATGTTGGGAATCGTCTGGTTTTAGTTGGATCGATGTTGAGGGCCATATAAAAGACTGAAGATTTTGATGTTAATATTCCTGTTTAACATCTTGTTAACAAAGAGTTTAATAATACCTGTGAAAATGGTGAAAAAACATGCTGTTTTTACAGCCACACAACTTTTTAAAAGCATAATTAGACGTGAAATAAATATGAAAATAGCTATATAGCGTTGTACTTAAGTTATCTTGATTCATCTGCTCTTACTTTCTAAAACAAAAAGTAAAAAAAATTCAAAAAACTGTGTTAACACGAGCTGAAACTCTGTTTGAAAGATAAGTTTACAATATTTACCAGCTAAGAAATGAACTGAAAGCTTTTTTGCAAATAAACAATAGGTTTTAGAAAAAAGATTTCATTATTTTTTTGTGATTATGTGTTGATACAATTATAAAAGTAAAAATGAATAATAATTCAATAATAAATTAAAAAAAAACAAAAAACAAGCTTTTAGTTCATTTCTTGACTGGTATATAGTTGCAATGCGTGCGGAATAAGTTAAGTTATAACTGGATTACATTCATTTTTTGCAGCGTGTTCATTTAAAAAATCAAAGATTATTGTGCATCTGTAAATCTACGTGAATATTTAAATTCTTTTCTTTGCACAGAAAGAATCACATGATCAATTCCATAACCCTTGAAAATTTCTTCCGCATGAAATAGAACAACATAACTAATTGTCCAAACTGTACTGTTGCAATCTTAATATAATTTTTTTCAACATCTAACATTTTGTTTAATGCATTTTGTCTAAGCATTCATCAGGTGAAGTTTTAAAATAAATATTGTCAATAATTATCACAACAACCAGAATGCATGTTTACATTAGAGCAGAATCTTTTCTTAATACATAACCTAAGGATTAGTTTATATATGGATTATTTTAAATAACTTAAATAATTTCAAAAATTCATTATCAAACATAATACATACTTTAGACGCACACTTTAGACGCTTGTTGATCTGCTGCTTGTGCCATACTTCAAAATTGACTTTGAAAATACTAACTTTTAGTTATTAAATAATCTAGTCTAAAATATGGGAAGTTGATACTTTGAATTAATAATAATAGTTGAAACTTTCTCAATATTTATTATTTGAAACTGTTCTGAAACAAAATATTCCTTGTTTATACGACATTTCCTACAACAATAACAAAAAAAGGATATAGGATTTAAAGTTTTATGTCTTAAAAGCTTTCACATTTTTTTCGTATGTGGATAGTTGAACTATTCCTTTAAAAGTTTTGAGTGAATAATTTAAGTATCACCCTAAGAAAAAGATGTGAAACAAAAGTTTAATTAAGTATTTTATTTCAAACATAAACGTGTAAAAATATAAAAAACAAACAATAAATTATGTTAACCTTTTTTATTTTAATTGACGTTAAAAAAATAATTTAAATTTTTAAAACGCCCCCACGCCCTCCACCCTATATTCTCAATGAAGTAGTAGAAATAAAAAACATGTTTAACAATTATATTGCTAGGCATGTAATATTTTTTTTATTTTTTATATCATACCAAAAATTATGTTTGAAATGCTTTTTTATCTCTTTTCTGAAAAATTTTCAAAAAAATTACATCAAATTACGTTATATAACTGCCAAAATAATATCTTTAAAGTAACCATGTTTAGTGAATATTTTTACTAAATTTCAATAAAAGCGGGCAAAATTTTTCAGGAGGCATGCTATTTTGGATTATGGAGTGGGAGATTTTCGCCTAAATAATAAACTAAAAAAGAGAAAGAAGAAATAATCTGTTTTTTTAAAAATGATCTTTTATAACAAAAATGAAAGATAACTACTACCCTCAAAAAATGTAATTTAGAAAGCAAATAAAATAATTTTACGATTTTAATAATTTTATTGTAAAATTGTTAGAAAGTCTCACAACACGTTTGCATACACATATTTCGAGCATCTGACAATCGAGAAAAATTGGAAATTCTAAAAAAATGAGAAATTTACAAAATATTTTAAGTGATTTAAAATGGTATTGTATTATTTAATATACAGTATTTTTTAATTTTATATACAATTTTGACCAAACTTTATAAAACAACACTCTAATAATAAAAAAAACTCATTATAAATAAAACAAAAACTTAAAAATGACAAGAACTATGGTTGATTACCAAAAAAGATCTAGTCGATTTTAAGAAAACTTAACAACAAGAACGCATAAAAAATATTTCTAAAAAATTTGTTGAAGACTAGTAAAACAAAAACATTTTAAAATTTGAAATCTTTAAACTTATTGAAAAACCAAAACTGCTGACATTTTTGAAGACATAAGTGAATGAAGACATTATATTTGATTTATATTTAACGCCTTCAAGTGGATGAAGGCATAGGGAACTAAATAAAACTGTTGTTTTATTGGTGACTTGGCTAATAAAAATACTATTAAAATATCTTTTTTGGGGTTTGATATAAAAAAAATGGATATTTTTTCTTTTATCAAGAGAAGATAACTAGTATAGTCAAATAACAAAAATCTTAAGTTAATATTTCTTTTAGACTTTTGATAAAAAATGAAATAGTTAAATAAAAAACAGTATTCAGTTTTACGATACTGTTACATCGTCAACTCTCTTTAAGGTTAAATATACTATGTTATATAATTTAGTATATAACACAATATAGTGACATTGTCTACCACTGATGTCATTCATAGGGTAGTCAAAAAAGTAAAAAAAATTAAACGTACAAAAAGCGAAAAATAAATAAAAAATGCATAATTTACATAGGATATTAAAATACATTTTAAAGAAAAATGTTTTATCGGCGAATGGTTATCAAGAAAATATTTTTAAACAGCTAAAATAAGACTTACTTAAAAATTAAAAAAAAATTCACTTTATCAAAAATACAATATGCATAAATAAAATTTCACCTTTTACTTTCGATACCACATCTTAATTTCTCGCGTTCGCTTAATTTTTTTTTGCAACTGTAACACGCCGTACAACAATGCTTCAGCAGTGGGTGGACATCCAGGTACATAAATATCCACAGGAACTACACGGTCACAACCACGAACAACTGCATAAGAATAGTGATAATAACCACCACCATTAGCGCAGCTAAAATAAAATATAGAAAGACATTAAAATTACATTACATAAAAATGAGAAATTACATAAAAATGAGAAATTACATCAAAATAAAAAATTACATCAAAATAAAAAAATACATTGAAATGATAAATTATGTTTGAAATGATACATTAAAACAATTAAACAATATTAAAATTATGAAAAGAATTCGTGCATGATGGCTTTGTCAAAGTATACATATAATGAAAAATACTTGGATTAAGTATGATTCTTTGTTTAAGAATTTTTTTTTTTTTTCAGTTTTTCTTTACACTCTAGCAAAATCTTTTTTTAAAGATCAAAATGTAAATCTGTAAATCATTTCCAGCTTTAATAAAAGATTTTGCTAGAGTGTAAAGAAAAACTGAAATTTTTTTTAAAAAAAACAAAAACAAACATTATAGTTATAACTGCTTCAAAAGCACATGATGTTTAAAAAAAAAAAACTTAACATGCGCATTAAAGTTGACATGTGGTCATTACACCAAAGTATTTCAGGGCTAATTTTTGTGAAGATATATAATTGCATTGAAGTATGGGAGAGCAATGGAAATAGAAGCAGCAAACCAATTTTTCGAAGTTATGAAATCTTTTCATCAAAATTTAACTGTAAATGAATGTGGATTATTTTTAGATGTCGAAACGCCCTATATAGGTGGAAGCCCTGATAGAATTGTCCGATGTTCATGTTGCCCACCAGCAAGTATTACAAGTGATTAAAAAAATGTACAACCTTAGTACTCTTGTGTGTTTAATACAAGGGGGTAGGCATTTAGTAATTTTTTTTTAAATTTCCCATCTAAAGCTTATAAAGACAATCAGGTTTATAGAATTGTTGACCTATAAATTTTTTTTTGTAATTATCGATTTGTCAAAAATGAGCTTTTGGTTTATTCCTCACCTCATACAAATGTATTAAGTTATATTTTAATTATGATAAAACAGCTGCTAAAAAACATTTGATTTTAAACCACACTAGAATTAAATTGATTTATGCCTGTTCTGTAAAACAAAAAATTCCACCCACCAATATAAAAATACAACATTAAATAAAATGGAACTAAAATTCACACACTCCCTTGCATTTAGCATGCAAGAGTACTACTAAATTAAAAAAAAAATATATATATTTTTTAAGAATGAGTTTTTTTTATTAAAGCAGGCTTTAAATTGCATAAAGCTGCACATAATAAAATAATACCATCCATATGATGAAGCATTGAAATAGGTAATACATTTTTTAAGATTCGAATTCTGTTTATGGCCCTTTCTATGTGGAATCTTAAGTTAGCAACATCAGTAGTCTTCTTACATTCACTAGCAGTCATTTGATTCTTTACCCTTGCACCTGGTGGGACTGCTAAACTGCAATAAATAAAATAGTTCTTCTCTTATTTGAAATCCTCTGTCTACCATCAATTCATCGTCTCTTTCCAACAGATCATAAAAACCACACCGTAACATTTAGATAGAAAAGTTATGTATCCGCAATTCCAGGTTTCCGTGCACTTCCTTTCTTCTTTCCTTCTCTTCTAAGCTGACTAATCCAGTGTTCCCTTTTTAAACTATTTCTTTTTAAACTTGGAAATCAATACATTTGGAATGGTAACTCACATCCACACTTGGATAGTATCTTCCTTTCGCATTGAAAACACATTTTATTTTTCAATTTTTCTAGCTTATAGGAACTATTGGTACATCCTATTACAACACAATTGACTTTCATCTTGAATATAATATTACTAATTCGTAACTGAGAAAATAAATATTTACCCTACTAAATTCATTCCAGGATTTTTTGATAATTTTACTATCTGTGTACCATTGTGTGTTACCATAGTTATAAAATTATAACTAATATAAATAAATACTTAATATAAATAATAATTATAATTAAAACCATTTGTAAACCTAAACAGATTTCGATTCTATAGACAAAAAAAAAGCTTTCAAGTTATTACTCTATAATCATGTAACTAAAATGAAACCTTTTTAAAAAAGTCAATTAAAAAAAACAATTAGAGGATTACTACTTAAGAGCCTGTAAACTTACGACAGTCAGTATATTTTATATACATATTAGCTCTAATATGTATACATACTACCTCAATGTATATTGGCATAGTATGTATACATATTAGGACTTGTAATGGATGATGAGTTTAAACTCAAAATAACTATTACAATATTGTTAATAATCCTTTCACAAGCAACCTCTCACGGAAAGCATACATTCAATCTATTGCAATGTTAGGACTTGTTAAGTTTCACCTCTTTTTATTGTGCTTGCTATGTTCTTACTCTGGATTTAATACTCCACCTCTATATTTCTCTTATCTATCCATGTGCAGTTGTCATATTTAGGCTGGTTTTTCTAATGATTTTTTTTAAACAAAGTCCAAAAATGCATTGTAAATGTAGTTGGATCAGCACTAGCTGCTAGCTTGAGTTTGTTTCATGTTTGTAAGGATGCATCTCTTTCTTTTTTTAAAAAATACCACATGATTACTGGTCAAGCAAGCAGCTATAATCTCTTGTTTCCCAACCAAAACACAAACTCCTATGACTCGTTATTTGGCATTCACATCCTTTTACTGTAGCTGTTCTTTTATGCTTAAAATTCTTTTTTTTTATCTAGCTTTTTTGTCAAACAATAAAATTTTAAATTCTATTTTCTTAATGTTTTTCTGACTAATACAATTTACAGTTTTTTAAGTCTCAAAAAATCTCAAGAGTCACCCCCCCCTTGTTTATCTTTTGAATATTTTTATCATAATTTGAATATTTGTGCTTGAAAAAAAAAGTTAGGAGTTACTAGAAAGGTGTCTTGCAGACTTATTGAAAGTAAATTTATTAAAAAAAAAAAATATTAACTGTAAGTGGTACGCACACTATGTTTCTGATAACACACCATTTTTGTTTATAACAAAACTTTTATATTGTAACAAAAAATATATAACCTGCCCATTGAAATAACCCAACGTGGTTCAGGCATTTGATCATACACCTTAAAGATAAATAAGTATACATGATAAAAACTATATAAGATAAAAACAAAATAAGAAATATATAGAGCTAACCCTCACACTATAGTCATTTTCTGTATGTAAAATTTAATGCATTAAGGAGTCCAGGCTTCTCTTTAAAATGTTTCCCAATAGGTTTTTAGAATCCAGCATAAGATTGATTATTATGCAATTTTGAAAATTTAATAATTACATAATTTTTTATTATGATTAATTTCTAAGAAAATTTCAAAATAATTTTTTAAAATGGATTTTGAAACATATAATATATACATAACATATAATAGTATAATAGTACTATTGTACCGTTATACTATTATATGTTATTTAAAAGAAAAACAGTATTGTGTTTTTCTTTTATACTAATACGTAAAAGATTTTTTACTTTAAAATACACAATCATAAAAAAAAATATTTTTATAATATATATTTGACATACAAGACAACCCTAAATGATACAATACAACAAATTTAATCAATTAAACCTGCACAAATGATTAAAGACAACAAATTTAATTAACTAACCCTGCGCAAAGCTGGAGCCATTTTATTTGTTAATGTACCTGCAACTATCATAACATCTGCTTGTCTCTAAAAAAAAAAATTCTTTGTTTATAAATAAAATCAAATTAAAAAATAAATTTCTACTTTTTGGATTTTAGATATTGGAGTTAAGTTTATATTTCTTTAAACAGTTTGGTGTCATTTTAGTACTTATGTGCATTAAAAGATTTAAGTTTAATGGGGTTTCGTAAGTGCCAAAATAAACTTCCCTTTCCATTCAGCATTCCCATAACTTACAATGGCTTAATAGACAACATTATTGGATAGGCGTTGATTGTGTATACACTTACACAGTTTTGCTATAAAATTCATATTTGAAAATCTAAACTTCACATTTAGCTAACTTTAATACAAGTTTGATTAAATATTTTATTTCTATTACTATGTATATCTACTACTTTAAATATTTTATTTCTATTACTTTCTACTACTTATGTATTTAATTATGTTTCAACATTTTTTCTAATAGGATGGCAAAATAATTTATTTCTTTATAAAAAAGAAACAATAATATGGATAGTTAAGTACCAAACCATCCTATAAAAAAAAATTAGGTCACATACAAGGTCACATACAATTTTTAAGTGTACTGAACTGCAATTACTTTTAATTTTTTTGGTTTAGTGGCTTTTACTAAAAACTTTTAACCTTTGTATCTAATTATCTCATTTCAACATATTCATCATATTAACTTTTTAAAATAGTTTGCTTATGTAACTAAAGATTTTTAAACTTGAAAAAACCTTTGAACTCATTTATGCGGTAGTGGTGTGGTGGTAGAGCGCTCGCTTCATAAACGAGTGGTTCCGAGTTCGATCCCCACCACGTCCCTGGTAGTACCGCGCTCAACTTGTTTCTCTGCGCAGCGGCCTTGTTTGTCAAGGTTCATGTTTCGGAGTTATAGAGTTGAGAGAGGGTTATAACCAAAGCTAAGTAGCCTCCTCGTCTGTAGTGGCCTTCTCGGCCTTGGGGAGGTGAATTAACAAAAAAAAAAAAAAAAACTTATAAAAAATGTTTTCTTTAATGGATACCAGAGATCAAGAGCTTAAATGATTTTTTTTTTTTTTGCAATGACAAAACTCGTTTTATTCTAACTTTATTTTTTAAACAGTTTTTTACATTTTGAATTGCCAATAGACATGAAGCTATTATCTATAACATTTAATATTTGTAACAGAATATACTAGAATCTTACTTTATATATTTACATTAATTAATAATAAAAGTCACTTACAGGACTTGCTCTAAACACAACACCAAATCGATCCATGTCATATCTAATAATTATAAAAAGTAATTTTAAGGTATTACATTTTACTACATATATGTGATCTCATGTTAAAAAGTTTTTGCTAAAATTAAATTACACTTTATCTATAAATCTAAAAAAAAGTTTACCTAGGAGCAGCAAAATGCATCATTTCAACAGCACAACAAGCCAGTCCGAATGTCATGGGCCATAGAGATGACTATATAGAAAGTGAAGCAAGCTTTATTTGAGAGTGAAAGTAATTAAGTTAGAGTAATTAAATAATAGAGTATATATAATAAAAGAGTATAGTAATTAAATAATTAAAGTAATAAAGAATAAAATTGATTGATGAAAAAAAAATATATATATATTATAAATATATAAGGGACTGAAAAATATAAACAAACCCAAGATATCAAAAACTTACTCGTCTTGCCCAATTTACTAAGTCATCAACTTTAGCAACTACAAACTCTAAATAACAAAATTATTATTAAGTTAAATAACTTACATACATTTTTTATTACTAAATAAACTAAATTCACTCACCTGCTGCATTGCTTACAAGACTAGGTTTTGATGTCGCTGTACTCTGCTCTCGGTAAGGAACTAGACTACAAAAATATATGTCACTTTTACTTTTGAAGAAACATTAATTTAAGTTTTCTTTTCTTTGCATAATTTTTAGTCATAATTTGATTGCATTCGTTAATTTCAAGTTTGCTAAAACTCGTATATAATTGTTTAACAAGTTTTTATATATATATTTTTTCTTACTTTTTAAAAAGCTTTGTAGTTTTTTAAAAAGAAAGATCTTAAAACAAAATTATCAGTTATAGATAAAAGGTTTCCAAAAAAAATCTGTTTTTCATATTAACACCATTTTTTATTTCACACCATTGCTTAATAATAAAAATCTGTAATTCATATCAACATCATAATCAAATATTTTTAAATTTAAACAAAAATTGTTAGAAATTATATGTTTTTGCTTTTTATTGTGTATTATATTGCGGTTTTAACTTTTTACAGTTTAAATAAACAAAATTTCTCTTCATAATACTTTCTATGATTAGTAAATTAAAAGTTTTAAAAAGTAAATTTTACTTTTTCATGTGCTAACAATTGGAGACCTAGTCATTCTAATAATTAAATTTTGTTACTGGCGAACCATAGAATATTGATCTAATGCGGTGAGGGTCTCAGTTTGCAAGCAATTGCCTGTTTGATAAATGCAATGAACTGTAAGCTTGCCTTTTTCTTTGTCAGAAAATTTAGTTCCTTTTGGCATTCGTTAATTAGTATTTGATTGAATAAATTTAATCTCAAAACAAAATTCTCTGCTATTTTTTAATGGGTTTGGATAAAATTTAGATAGTGAGGTTATGATTATTATATTATGATAATGTGCCACGGTTTTAAACGTTTATAATTTTAGTTGATCAAATAGATTTCGTTTATTTCAAAAAAAAAAATCTACCAATAGAATTTGATCAACAAACTTTGAAAGGTGTTTTCAAAGCTTCTATACAGATAGGGTTATGATTTTGCATCTTACTGTATATATATATATATATATATATATATATATATATATATATATATATATATATATATATATATATATATATATATATATATATATATATATATTTTTTATATTTTGATTTACTACAGGGGAAAATGCAGTTTTTTTAAGTTTCCCAAAAGTTTTCATAGTTGGACTTGCCTTTTTAACATTCACAGATTCATATAATGTTTAAGGAAGCAAAACTAAAAAAATTGGATGTGGTAAGGTGGTAGTGAAAAATCTTAGACAGAGAAGGTATGTTTATATATACACTAATATTTATATAAATAAAATCTTTAAAAAATAGATTAACACAAACACATTTAATATTTTAGAAAACAACTAAGAGATATAGAAGTTGGTCGAATTATTGAGGTTGCTAACCAATGAGAGTCTTACAGAAGCATTGAAAAACGTTTTAAACGACAAAACTTAACTATAAGTAGATTGGTGAAGAAATATAAACGCACTGGTACAGCTGAAAGGTCTGTTGGATCTGGGAGAAAGATGAACTGTTTCAAATTCTTCTTGCTGGTTAGAATGCTTTACCAAACAACATATTAAAAAGACTTGTAGATAGTATGCCTTCTAGATGCGAAAAAGTCATAAGAAACAAAAGATGGCCAATTAAGTACTAATAGAGTTAAAACTTGAAAAATACTTAAGAAATCCTAATTTCTTTTTATTATATGTAATGTACAATAATATTATATGCATTTCTTAGAAAAGGTTTATTTTACTGAGTTTAAGACATTTTTTGATGGTTTTTTTTTATCAAAAAATTGAGGGTGGCTTTTTTTTTTTGCACCCCCTGTGTGTGTGTGTGTGTGTGTGTGTGTGTGTGTGTGTGTGTGTGTGTGTGTGTGTGTGTGTGTGCGTATATATATATATATATATATATATATATATATATATATATATATATATAAAGATATAAATAGTGGCATATGGATATACATTTTCGGTACAAAAATACTGACTTTTTTCTATATGGTTTTTACATTAAAAAAAGAAAAAAAGAAGATTAAAAAAACTGCTCCGACCCAAACCCACAGTCAATATAGAAGCAACTCCTTCGCATGCTCTCCCTAAATCAGTCAATGCACTGAAGCCCATACAGCTCATAATTCAGTAAGACATCAGATTACTAGTCTAAATATAGTTTTAATGTTATACACACATTTCTATGCTTCCATTTCTATTTTATGAGAAAACTTAATAAGGTTTCAATTTTCAGGAAATTTTTTTTGAGTTAGTTAATTACAATAGTTAACCTTTACAGGGCCACAATCCACAATCTTTGTTTGTTTGTTTTGTTTGCATTTGTTTTTAGTTATTTAACTATTTATTTACTTATTTATTTATTTTTTTTCATTAGCTATATAATTTATCTATATTATTGTTATTAATATTTAAGCATATTTAGTATTTATTTATAGTGAAAAGTGATATTGCATTTTAAATATTATTGTTAAAGCAATTTTTTTAAATTATAAAAAAATGCTAAAATCATATAAATCAGTTTGTTAGAGAAAGTATAATTAATTAGAAAATAATTTTAAAATTATTTAATATTTATTTAAGCATATTGCTAGAAAGAACCACAGGAAGATTATTGAGAACTGCTTAGATCATCATTTTTCTAGGAGGCATGTCTCCTGGAGAAATTTGATTTTGAGCTTGGGGGTTTATATGGTTTTAAGATAATTAAGTTTGGAAATAAAATATAGGGTGCTCAATCATTTAAAATAACATCCAAAAAGAATAAAGAACTTTAATAAATACTAAAAATTCTGATAAAACTTTGTAAAGTTTTTTTAAAATTAATAATCAATTACTGATAGAGCTATACTTCTAGGATATCAATGGTACTGAAAGGTATGATATTGAAACAAATAACTGATAGAATTTAATTCAAAGATCTGGAGATCTGGCATGAGGACAATCATTTTATGAGTGTTTGGAAAATAGTAAAGAACTTGAAAATAGTTAATAACACAACAGAATGTTTTGTTGCATTTATGCAAAAACTTAATGAATTAATTATTTATGACAGAAGCAAAGCAGTACTTACAACAAATTATTTTGCAACATTTAAAAAACTACTGAACTTTGATTCGAAGAAATCTACTGTTTTGAAATAAATAACTGAAGTTAAATACAATCAATAACAACAAATTATCTGATAGTAAAATAAATTTTAGCGATTTATTCAGTTAAAATTTTTAATTTTTTTTGTATTTGAGGTCATTTTGAATTTTAATAAGCTATATTTGAACATTTCTTTAAAATAAAGTTGCCAAATTAAACAATAAACATTTTAACTTTCTGTAATTCTGTAAATAAGTAACTAGCTTGTAAATTGTTATGTTAGATGAAATAGAAATGTCAGGTAAATGTCTTGTATATGTATAAATATGTATATCTTCGACCTTTGTAAGACAACTCTTTATTTACAACTTAGTCTAATTTTAGACTGAATTGTACTATTCTTAATTAAACTAATGTTAAATTTTACTTCACAGGAATTGTTTTTAAATAGTATGGAATAATTCAAAATTTCAAAAAAAAAGGGCCGTCATAATGTACACATACATATAAAAAAAAAAAAGGGCCATCGTAATGTAAACATATATATAAAAAAAAAAGGGCCATCATAATGTACACATACATATAAATATATAAAAAAGGGCCATCATAATGTACACATACATATAAATATAACATTTGCATACTTGGTACAATGCAATGTGCTCTAAATGTCTTTACACAATTAAATAAGTATTATTTACAATGTAAGCAATTAATTTGTTACTTTTTGTTAATTTTTTATCTAATAAAAAGTAAAAATGTGATAGTGTATAAAAGAAGTAGAGAAACTTCTCAAGCAGGAGAACTAAAATCTTCATCTTATTAACATTTCATATGTTAATAAGATGAACATTTTATATATTTTATATGTATAGCATCTTATTAACATTTTATATGTTACATAACTTACCTTGTTGCTGTGCATTTTTGATCTTCTTTAGCAACTGCATGCAAAGCTCGTATTGGGAGAAGAGGAAAAATGCTAAAAAAAATAAATTGTAAAAAAATATTAAAAATTAAACTCCTAATGCAAAACCTAAAATCAACTATTATTTATCATCATCTTTGACATAAAAAAGGGATTTTTGATTGATTTAAGCGGACACGAGTAACACTTTATTAATAAATCAAATAATCATTGTTTATTTGAACTTTTTAATTTTTAAATTACACACACACACACACACACACACACACACACACACACACACACACACACACACACACACACACACCCACACACACACATATATTTAAAGGTTTAAGAGTCATTTTTGAACTGTTTACTAATTTAAGGATTGTGTTTTTAATGGTGACATTATTTTTAACTTTGGGTTGCTATGGATACCTAAATTGCTTAGCAACCACATATTTTATTACCTCAACAAACATAAGCTAGAAAAAGTAATAACTTTATTGGGTTTCTCCCATAATACATTGAGTATTTTAATACTACAAATGTAGTTGTTTGTTTGTTACAAATGTATGTTTATTTGTTGTTACAAATGTTGTTGTTACAAATGTATGTTTATTTGGTTGATAGTGATACCTAAAATGCCTGACGCTTCATTTCGCATATTTACTAGCTTAAGTAACTTTTCTTCAAGCATCAATGTTATAACTAATATTAATGTGGCAGTCTGATTAAAAATTATTTTAATCAGAATAATAAATGTGTTGAATTTAAAAAAATTCAACACATTCCCATTACTAATTTTAAGTATTTTAATGCAGTTTCAAGGCTCTATTTTATATTTCATGAAACTACTACATAATCTATATAAAAAAGAAACCCTGAGTTTCTTTTTTATATGGATTATGTAGTAGTTTAACCTTTTAGTGTATATAAAATATTAGGATTAGGTAACTTCAGGTTTTCTTGTATAATATATGAATAAATATTTTTCATGTTTTAACTATATAAAAATATAAATTTCATTTAAAAATTTTTACAAATAGGTATTTTAAGATGTATAATTAATAAAATTGGATACATCATTTACCCGGTGGGAGATAAGCTAGCAACTAGCTAGTCGCTAGTTATGGGTAAAAGACGAGTAATACGTGGTTTAGATGTTTTAAACACGTCTTGCGTCAGCTATCTTTTTTCACCGGGTAACTTGTAAAAATCATTAATAGAGACCAGGCAGGCATCAGCGGAATATAAAACAAATTTATATTGATAATATACATATGGAACAATGTATTTTAAGTTTCAATTTACTGAACAGCTTTGGACTGCAAAAGTATATAGGTGAAACTATATATAGTATGTATATAGGTAACTATATAGGTGTATATAGGTAACTATATAGGCGAAATTTTAACTAAAAAAAGTGCTTTATATACCCCATCATTTGAAATCATTTTTTTTTTACATGGCTTATGTGCAAACTAGTGTTGTAATAGCTCATTTGAAAGATATGTTATAAATTATGCAATAAAAAAAATAGGTTTTAAAGTTAACATCTACTCTATGCTTATTAGTAATGTAAAAAATACTATCAAATTAAAAAAAAAAAATTAGAATTTTTTTTTTAAAAAAAAAAGCTTTTTATTTTACAGCTTAGAAGCGACTTCTAAGCTGTACACAAAAATATATACATTTTAAAAAAGCTGAGTGTTTAAGCTATAAAATGGTATATAATAATGTAATTTTTGATAATGTATTTTTTATACTTACTGTGGGTTGTGCAGGACCCTTAAACACCACTTAGGTCCATAATATTATGAAAAAAAGAGTTTTTTAAAAGTATATCATGTTGGGTCTTAAAAAAAGCTTCATTTGAGACTTGATGATATACTTTTGAAAATTTTTTTTTTGATAATATTATGTTTAATGTTTAAGAGACTTGTGGCACCCCTAAAAATATTTTTTATTAAAAATTTTTTTTAATCCAGTAGTTTTTTATTATATAGAACACAGGCGGTGTGAGCAGACATTTTCAAAAAAAGTATTTTTTAGAATACTTACTAATAGCCATACCACTAAATATATTAGGGGTATGATTAAAATGTATATAGGGGTATGACTATATATTTATAACTATATATAGAGGTATGACTATATATATATATATATATATATATATATATATATATATATATATATATATATATATATATATATATATATATATATATATGTATATATATATATATATATATATATATATATATATATATATATATATATATATATATATATATATATATATATATATATATATATATATATGACTAAAAAGTAAAATGTACATAGGGGTATGACTTCTCCGTTTTATTGTAGGCCTAAAAGTCAGCATAATATACGCCGCATTCTACAGACTTGATAATTTATTCAAGCGTATTTTATTCCTAAGACTTTTAGTACATGACGTTATTGTTTTGTTTTTGTTTGCACAAGAAATCTATTATGTAAACATTTAAAAGTCAATGACGTCAAAACATTTTTTTTATCATTCTCTTTAATATGAACACAACATGTCTCAAAGGTTTGGGATTCCTTTAAAGTTATTTTCGTTTCTATTTTAATTATTTTGTTTAGAACATCAATAAAACTTAAACTTTTTTTTTTTTAACTTAACTTCTTCAGAATTTAAACAAAGCATTTGTTTTGCTGTTTTCATTTTGAAAAAATTATTTAGATCATAAATAAATCATTTGCTTTGCCAAACAATGACCCTAATTCCGAAGAATATATATATATATATATATATATATATATATATATATATATATATATATATATATATATATATATATATATATATATATATATATATATATATATATATATATATATATATATATATATATATATATATATATATATATATATATATATATATATATATATATATATATATATATATATATATATATATATATATATATATATATTAGGGCTGTTCATGTGAACACAGAAAAAAAAAATTTTTCTCGGATTTGAATGCATAGTTGTTTATTTTGTGCCATTTGACATAGTAATTGACTGTGTAAAAAATCTTTCCAATCAGATAATGTTTAGGGGGTGCTCAATGACCATAAAGTTTTACGAAAAACGTCAAAAACGTGGAAAAAGTTCCAAAGTTCCAAAAATTTCTAGAACCTGGTTAGTTAGATTTTTTCCACTGAAATATTGTCTGATTGCGTGCTATATAGATTAATTAAAGTGCAGCAGATTAACTGTCATCAGGGCACCAGACTAAAAAATGTCTGCTAGTGTTTAAAACAACTGTGTTTATATCATTTTGTTAAAATTTGTATTCATAATTTTAATACTATTATTTAACTCAATTTAGAATTTGTTCAAACAGAATAAAAAGGTTTACAAGTATAAATATTATTTTTATTTGGAATTTCAGTTTGACAACAAATGTATTAATATTTTGATAGTACCTAACCTTAGTAACCTATTACAGAAAACTAGCATGGTAGTCTGGTAGTGTATTGTTTTTTATTAAGTGTAGAAATTAATAATTTCTAATTTGAAAATATTTATTTAATTTCTTTAGTAATAATTATTATTATATATTGCTGCAGCTGCATAAACCAACAACTGAATGATAAGTTTGTATAATATGGTATTGAGTTTTGATTTTCTCATAATTTTTCAGTTATCATTGAAATGGCAGCATCATCTCGTGTTGCTATCTCTACACGACTTCAAACCGAAATCTTTTTAATTGGACAACCAGAGCCAAATCTTCCAGATAAAGTTCTTCCCTTAACATCTGATGTTTTAAAAACATTTTTTTATCATCTTAATTCAACCAAAAAGTCAGTGCCTGAAAGTCTTAAAACAACTGTTGATGAACTGATTATTATTTGGAATAAAGCCCGTATTCCGACAGCATTTCATCCGAATGTAGTCTTAAAGTTGAAAACTTTAGTCCAGGAATTTAAATTAATAAAAAAAAAAAAATCCAGATTGTCAGATTCTCAGAAATCAAGAGAGAAATCATTTACAGACACCATTGGCCTACTTTTTGACATTGCCCACAAGGATGCTGAAACCATGATCAGAATTGAAGAGGATAAAGAATTTTTATTGGATCAGAGATGTCAGAGAAAAATGGTGATGTTTGGAGAGGACAAAGAACTTTCAAAATTAGAAGCAAGAAATGAAGCAAGGAAACAAGCAGAGAGAGAACGAAAGCTAAAAGAAGAGCAAAGACAATCTGGTGCGAGTGCAATAGTTCCTGTTATTGAACCTTTACATGACGAAAGTTATAGTGATGACAATGATAACGATGCTGTTGATAATGACAAAATGGTTGATAGAGATTTTGAGATAGAAATCCCTGTTTATTACAGACAATAAGTCAGTAAAGCAAGTTCTTCAGGGTCAGCTGAATCAAGTTTAGCAAGTACTCCAAAACGACAATGTATCATAGATACAATTCTTGACTCGCCTGATGTTTCATCAACATTTCAACAGAACCTCGATGATGGATCATTGTCACGTTCTACAGTCCGTAGAAAACGAACCTATCATCGATCAAACATTGAAGCCACTGTTCGAACTGAATTCTGCGATTTGGACAAACCACCATTAATCGTCCACTGGGATGGCAAACTGATGATAGATCGTACAAATTCTGCAGACCCTAAAGCAAATGTTGACCGGCTATCTGTAGGTGTGACAGGTCACAATGTTGACAAAATACTTGGAATAGCAAAACTATCAGCTGGAACTGGAGAAGCCCAAGCAAAAGCAGTTATTCATCTGCTTAATTTCTGGGACATAATTGGTGATGTTATTGGAATGAGTTTTGACACTACAGCCTCTAACACTGGCTCCGAAAATGGTGCATGTGTAGTTCTAGAGAAACATATAGGTAGAAATTTGTTATATTTTGCTTGCAGACACCATGTTCATGAGATCATAGTAGCAGGAGTGTTTGGATCACTATTTGGACCATCATCTGGTCCCAACATACCTCTTTTCCAGAGATTTCAGCAATATTGGCCCAAAGTTAATCAAAGAAATTTTAAACCTCTGGATGACATTCGAATGAAAATACCCCTGGTGCAAGAACTACAAAATGAAGTGATGGCATTCCTCAAAGAAAACCTGCATGTTAAAATGCCAAGGGATGACTACAAAGAAATCATGGATCTCTGTCTGTTAATACTTGGAAAACTGCCTGATCAAGAAGAGAAAAATTATCATTTCAAGATCCCTGGTGCTTATCACATGGCTCGCTGGATGGCCAAGGTTATTTATTGTTTTAAGATTTATTTATTTCGTGAAGAGTTCAAGTTGACCACAAAAGAGGAAAAAAATCTCTGTGAATTTTGCTTATTTGCTAGTCTGGTTTATGTAAAATCTTGGATATCATGCCCAAATGCCAGCGATGCTCCAGTTAATGACTTGTTTCTGTTTCAGCAACTTAAGCAGTTTGCAGTTGTGAATAAAACGATTTCCGAAGCAGCAGTCAAGAAATTTCAAAACCATTTGTGGTACCTTTCACCAGAATTGGTCCCACTAGCTTTGTTTTCAAACAAACTTAAAACGGAAGAGAAGCGAAAAATGATTTCCAACATGAAATTTCACGGTGAGAACTGGTCTGAAAGGTTGATCAAATTAAAGAACATTGAAAGTCTAGAGAAGAAATCTCTGGACATGCTGGTGACATCAGTTTCAGCAAGTGCATTGCGGTCAATGAAGGTTGATATTGATTTTCTGTTCAACAACGATCCAGCTACCTGGAATGATTCCCCAGAATAACAAGAAGGAAAAAATTTAGTATATTCATTGAAAGTAGTAAATGATGCTGCCGAACGATCTGTGGCTTTAATGTTGATGTTTAATGAATCGATTACAAGGAATGAATCTGAAATGCAGAGGTTAATTCAGGTGGTTGAGGATCACAGAAAGCGAGTGCCAGATGCCAGAAAGTGTACTCTGAAGAGTTATAGTCCTCGCTAGCATTAACATTGCACGAACTATAACATTACGATAATTAAATGTTAATTGCTCATATGTTTTTGAGTTGACCTACTTAGTAGTTGATAACGGTTTGAGAAACTGTTACTCCTTTACAATAATTTTTTTTGTTTATAATTCGTATTTTAATCAATGACAAAGAGTCAAAAATCTTAGTGTTTTATTTTGGAAAAATTCTGATATAACAAAAACCGCAGAACTTTAGTCGTATTGCAGTATTTTATTTCATTAATTTCTCTGCTAATAAACCAGTATAAAGTGGATGTGGATTGTAATTTGTATTCAGAATTTAATATTTAGAGATAATTAAAACTGATCAAATCTGAAAAATCTAATTAACCGGGTTTTAGAAATTTGTGGAACTTTGTTACTTTTTCCATGTTTTTCACATTTTTCGTAAAACTTTATGGTCATTGAGCACCCCCTAAACATTATCTGATCGGAAAGATTTTTTGCACAGTTAATTAATATGTCAAATGGCACAACAATAAACAACTATGCAATCAAATCTGAAAAAAAAATTTTTTTTGGACAGCCCTAATATATATATATATATATATATATATATATATATATATATATATATATATATATATATATATATATATATAATATATATATATATAATATATATATATATATATATATATATATATATATATAATATATATATATATAATATATATATATATATATATATATATATATATATATATATATATATATATATATATATATATATATATATATATATATATATATATATATATATATATATATATATATATATATATATATATATATATATATATATATATATATATATATATATATATAAAATTGTTCAGTTAATTTTTCACCTTATTTTGAATTCTGTTGAAGAGTTGCACAAAATCTTTGCACCTACAAAAATAAATCATAACATATAATCCTAAAAATAGAAAAATATTAACAAAAATAATTTTTTTTTAAATAGACTAACCTTTGTTATTTATCATAAAAATATAAATAGAAACATTAATAGGCTTTTAAGTACTTTAAGTATTTTCAAGTTTCAACTTAAAAATAATAATGCTTGAAATTTTTTATACAGTTTTGTTATCTTGAAAATAAACCAATTCAAGATATTTAATGCAAAACAGAAGAATGAGATTTTAAAAAATATTGTCATCCTTGGATTTCGAATTTGAGACATGTTTGATGCTTGTGGTTCTCTTCTATATCTATGGTAATGTAAAAAAACTAGTTGTTGCTAATTCATAGACTTAGGTATTAGTATGATGTTTGTAGAGAAAAAAATATTTGAGGTGACTTTCCCCCTTTTGTTGACAGTCCCCCTTTTGTTGCGGGGTTAAGGTTGGTTTCAAGTATCCCCTGTTGTGGGGCTACTATTTTTATTTCAATTCACCTCCCCAAGGCCATGAAGGCCACTACAGTCCTTGACTGTACTTTATTTGTGGTTATAACCCTCTACTACTACTTACTACTTTAGTTGTGGTTATAACCCTCTCTTAACTCTATAATTCCAAAATAGGAACCTTGAAAAATAAGGCTGCTGTGCAGAGAAATATGTTGAGCATGGTACTACCATGGAAGTGGTAGGGTAACATGTTGAGCGTGGTACAACCAGGGGTGTGGTAGGTAAACTTAAAATTTCTTGCTCATGAGACAAGCGCTTTACCACTACACTACTACCGCATTAAACCCATATGAACTCATAGTGTAAAAAGTGTTTCTGCAGTTTTTATTGAATGTCACAAAAACACTACACAAAGAAAAACAGTATAAATACAATTTTAAAAAGACCTCTGTTATTTACAAAACAATTTAAATGAATTAATACTGCAAAATTTTTTAAATATAACAAGATCTGGTATACTGTTGTTGCAATATATTTAGTACTAGGAGTACTTGTACACTAATTGTCCAGCTCTGCAATTTTAAAAAGACCTCTAATTATTCTGTTTTATTTCATCTATATTGTAAAAAAGTCTGTTTTTGCTTGCAATTTCCAGTGATTTTTTGATGGCTTAATCATAAAAACTATAGCATAAAAAGTTCTTCCATACTAACACTTACAAAGCGACAAGGAAAAAACTTTTCATCATATTCTACAAGCACATATTCATCAACATTAAGTTTTTACCTTGTTGTTCAGATCTGAACTTTTGCTAATGTTGTCATTATCAGATAAATTTTCATCATAGCTACTACTTTTAATAGCATCATCTGCAACCTATCTGAACTGTCATCATTTTGTCCTGTAGTTGGATTTTCAGCAACATTTTAATTTCTTCCTCTTGGTAGTTGCTGTAGTTATTCTTGGCATTTCTATTTTCTAAAATTTTTTAAAAAAAAAAAAATTTTTTTTCTTCCAGAACATTTAATTTTCTTCTCAAACACTTCGTAGTTGAAATATTGATCTTGTCAAATAGTCAAGAAATAATTGATTGACATTCTTATTTGATCTCCTTGGAGAAACAAACATTTATGGAAAGATTTTTAACACTTCTTGTTGATTGCCTGTTTATATCCATGTCTTTCTGAAACCAGACATATTCTCTGCACAATTCGTTTGAATTAATATATGAGGTGACTTAATAAAGTAGGGAAAGTTTCTTATTATTATTGTTTATGACAACTTTTCGCCAAAATTGTAAACAATGATATTGTATAATTAAACAAGATGACATATGGACCCAAATTTTAAACACTTTTCTTGTCATACAATCAAAAACGTGCTGATCTTCTTTTACTCATTTGACACATGGGATATTTTCATTGAAACATTGAATATCACCCCCCCCCCCACCCCCATCAATCTAGATAGGATTTCACAATAATTCGAAGATCAAATTAGGTCAGTTGGTAGACAAAAGACAGAACCTTATTCAAATGATCACAGAATGACTGCTCTTCTTGAATGAAGACAACTGGATGCCCTGTGTCTATAAATTTAAATCATGCCAAAAATAACCCAAAATATTAGACATAAAAAACCTTCCACCACCTGACTGTCTTAATATATCTTTTACAAATATTTGTGGTCTGCGAAACAAATCTTTTATTACACCTACTACTACTAGAAATTATATCTGAGGGATTGCATTCTCTCAGATATAATCTTTGATTATGACCATGCCCTTTCTCTTTACCCCTATTGTTATAGGCCACTTTAATGCTCATCACACTGAATGGCTTGGCTAAAATTAAGCCTCATTCTACTCCTTGGTTTCCACCTTGTGCAACTACTAATTGTAATAATTTTTTTTCATCTTTTTCAAAATAAAAACTCTCTCGAGCAGGGTTGGCAAAAACCTGTTTTTTTTAAAAAAAACCTGACCCAGTGGTTTTTCTTTGTATTTTAGGGTTTTATTGGGTTTTTTTTGTTTTTGTTTTTAATTTCATATCTGTTAAATTTTTTTGTTTTTTGTTTAATGATATTAAAAAAATTAATATAATTTTTTACTTTAACTTTATTTAAAATATATTTTATCTAATGTTATTTAATAATTTATAAAAAGAAATTTTCAAAAAGATTTTTTTTAAATAAATTAAAATTGGTTTGTATTTCAAATATATATATATATATATATATATATATATATATATATATATATATATATATATATATATATATATATATATATATATATATATATATATATATATATATATATATATATATATATATATATATATATATATATATATATATACACACACACACACTACTGTTCATAATTATTTTAACGACATTAAATTTTTTAAAAAAATTTTTCATTCAACTATTTTTAATGTTTATTTTTGCACTATCAAATAATTTAAAAGTATTGTGATTAAAATGCTTTGATAAAAATCATAACAATAATAAAAATACTAAAGTGAGCAAAACTACATAAAATTGGGCCATCAATAACTGTAAATGTGGACCGATGTTTCCGTGATTTTCCGTGATGGCCGATCTTTCCGTGATTTTCTTCGTGATGGCCCTTGGGTAGAAATCTTTCGTCTTCCTGCTGACAAATGTGCTTCTTACATAACTTCGTGGATTCAGGCTGGCATGGAATCTTTTATTCCCTCTCGACGATTCCAGGTCAAGCCCCACTCTTCTCCTTGGTTTCCCTCACATTGCGCTGCAGCAATTTCTAATCGAAACCGTTACTTTCATATCTATCAGCAAAACAATTCTCCAGAAAACAGACATCTGTTCACTATCACCAGAAACCATTGTAAAAAGGTTTTGTCTGATGCCAAAGCTCGCTATTCTCAGGTCATAAAATCTTGTATCTCATCACAAAAATTAGGCTCTCGAGACTTCTGGAGAATCTTTAACAGTATCAATAATAAGGGCAAATCTGTTATTCCTTCTTACTATCTGATCATCAATATGGATTTTGATCTTCTCGTTCAACAGCTGATTTGCTAACAGTAATAACCGATAGATTTTACCGTGCATTAGATAGAGGTGGAGAGGTTAAAGCTATCGCACTTGACATTTCTAAAGCTTTTGATAAAGTTTGGCATGCTGGTCTTCTCCATAAGCTTTCTTCTTATGGTGTATCTGGTAACATCTTTAAGATTATTGAGTCCTTTCTTTCCAATCGTAGTATAAAAGTTGTCCTCGATGGACAACATTCTTCTTCACATCCTGTAACTTCAGGGGTTCCTCAAGGTTCAATCCTTGGCCCTATACTCTTTTTAATTTACATTAACGATCTTCCAGATATTCTCCTATCTAAGGTGGCATTATTCGCTGACGACACTACCATTTACTCTTGTCATGATAAGAAGCCTATACTCTCTGATTGCCGGGAGGGGGTATCTGAGCTTGAAAAGGATCTCACTTCTGCTACAGCATGGGGCTCACAGTGGCTGGTGAACTTTAATTCAGATAAAACTCAATTTTATTCGGCCAATCGTTATCGTAATAATTTAGATCTTCCTATATTTATGAATGGTAATGTACTAGATGAGTCATCTACCATTCATCTTCTAGGATTAACTCTTACTTCTGATCTTTCTTTTAAACCGTATATCAAGTCCATTGCAAAATTAGCATCTGCTAAGGTTGCATCTCTTTATCGAGCTCAACACTTTCTTACTCCAGATTCTATTCTCTATCTCTATAAATCTCAAATCCGTCCCTGTATGGAATACTGTTGCCACATCTGGGGCGGATCTTCTAATGATGCTCTTTCTCTTTTAGACAAGGTGCAAAAATGCATTGTAAACATAGTTGGACCTGCTCTGGCAGCCAATCTCCAACCTTTGTCACATCGTTGTGATGTTGCTTCTCCTTCTCTTTTCTACAAATACTATAATGGGCACTGCTCTAAAGAGCTAGCGTCCCTTGTGCCATCTACTAAGATTCATTCTCGTGTTACTCGCCAAGTCTTATCCTTTTTCTGTGACTGTTCCTAAGTGCTTCAAAAACTCTTATTCTTCTAGTTTTTTTCCTCGAACATCAGTTCTTTGGAATTTGCTTCCTTCATCTTGCTTCCCTGATTCATATAATTTGCAATCTTTTAAGTCATCAGTCAATCGTTATCTTGCTCTACAGATTTAGTCTTTTCTCTTCCAGTAACTTCCAACTCTTATAGTGGTTGCTTGCAGCCTTGTTGGAAGTGAAGATGTTAAAAAAAAAAAAAAAAAAAAAAAAAAAAATGTGCGAAGCTTCAAATCTTTGGTTTCAAGATAAGATTGTTTGCATAAAAAAAAAATTGTTGAATGTATGATAGAATAGTATGCATTGTCTTTAAAACATGGTGAATGTAGTGTTGAGGTGTGGGGCTGTTTTGGTTGAAATGCCACAGGTGACTTTGTAAAAATAAAAACAAGTAAAAGAGTAAAAACAAAAGTAGTTTACTTGTACACCTTCACACCTTCAGAAAGATGGTTTA